GGCTGGATTTGAACCCACCAGCTCAGGTGTATGTGGCTGGTGCCTTAGCTGCTTGAGCCACAGGCACCGAGCCTGTTGTTTTGTTAAAACAGTGAGAGCAAAATAACTTACTAGAATATAAAGATAAGAGCAGATGAGCATGCTACTGATGGAGAAGGGGTATTTTCCCAGAACCATCTCCACCTGATGTCAATCAAAACATATCATTGGCCATTTAGTTAAAAAAAATCCAATATGCTTGTGCACATACACCAGTTATTTTATGTACAGTAAAGGAATAGAAAAGGGGGAAATGAAAAGAGTAAACTATACTGTAGCAGTTGGGATGTGGTGGAACCAAATTGCAGAGTTCTAACTGAGAATGTCACCTTGGTCACTAATAACAGAGTTCTGGAGTAAAGTAGCAGGTCCCCTTTTTAGTAGACACCTCCTGTCTGCTGTTGGAACACATCAATTGTATCTTCACCCTCCATTTCCAACTGGGCAGGCGGGTCTGTTTCATTGATTGGCTGCCTATCAAATCAGAATCTGATGGCCCTGTCATTCATAGTAGGCTTTCATTAGTTTACTAAGTGGTGTATGCCTCTTAATCTTAAACTGCACCACAGAACCGTCCTGTCCTGCCACCTTCAAATTAATGTGATCATTGTTCTCAGTCTTGACTTCTTCCTTAGGCTTTTCATCTGCCACAGTGAGTGCCTCAGACTCCTCAGCTGCTGCTTCACAAAAGAAGTACCAGGTCTGCACTGAACAAGCACACAAGTGCCAACCCCACTGATTTTTATAATCCTTTCCTTTAACTAACTACTTGATGTTTTGAGTTCTTTCCCAGAAATAGTGGATTTTCTGCAAAACAAGGTAGCTCAGATTCTGAAAGTTCCTCCCCTCCCCTGAGCAGACTTCCAGGATGCCAAGACTCACCATCCAGTACAACCTGTCCCCCCTGGCTGTAGCCCCTTGTTAGTTACACCAAGACTTTCACCAAGGCATGTGGCCTCTCCTTTAAAAGCCCACGATCTCTGTTAGATTAGCCTGAGAGATGATTTGAGGGAGCTTCCTTTGTTCTCCTGACAAAACATCTATGTATTCAAAAATTCATTTTTTCTTTTACCATCTTCATTGTCTCAATAATTGGATCTGTGTGTGATGAGCAACAGGACCTAGGTCGACACCCCATTGTGGTTTTAACAATACCAGTTGGCTCAGTGCCTGTGGCTCAAGTAGCTAAGGCAC